GGGGGATTGGGGAGGTGAAGGCTCCTGGGCCCTTGGAGCAGAGCCTTTGAGCAAGTTGACCTCATAGGGGGGAGACCCTGGATTGGAGCAGGGGGGAGCATGCCTTACCTTGTAGAGGGGACTCAACTTCTCTGCAGGGGGCCCAAATGGACACTCCCTCCTAGAATCTGTCAAGAATGGTTTGCCTTGGATAGGAGGGAGAGATGGAGGATTGCCTTTGAAAAGCAGCAGCAACGCCTCAGCAAGACCGTCCATCTCTGTGTCTGTCTTGGTCTGATACATTGGACTAGGCCATGGGCTGAGGGAGGAGGCTGGTTGCTGACATCTCACAGGCCCTGGGAGGCCAGAGGCTCCCCATTTCTAGCCAGGCCTGTCTTGTTCATCCTTGAAGCTGGGAAGCAGTGAGCAGGGTGGGCTAGACTCTCCCCAGGACCCTCACAATGGGTGCTGTGGGCCTGGCTGCTCCCTCGAGGTCAGAGGCAAATTGGTGACCAAGTGAATGTACCAGAGCGGGCAATGGCATTACATGACTGCTAACAGAAACATGGCAACCAACCATTTCTTCTCCAAGGAACATAAGTAGAAGATGTGCAGACCAGCAGGGGCTAGTGGCAGGGGCTGGCTGTGCATTGGTTTTGATGCCTCTCAGTTTTGGCTGTCCCAAGGCTGGGGGTCAAAAACGAGAGCTGATGAGGTAACCTGGAGTGAGGGCGGTGCTTCGCCACCCCCTCAGGAACCATACTTCAGCGGCTCTGCCTCTGCACATTGCTCACCAACACACAGGGTAGAAACCACTAGTTCTTCCTGGAGAAAACAGAACATGCAGCCTCCACCACGTCCCCAGAAACAGCCGCAGACTTGAGCTCACTACATCAAGAACACCACACCGCGCTCCAAGGAACAGCTACAAGCACAGAGACAGAGGCAGACAGAGACAGAGAAAGAGACGCAACATGGCAGCAGACACTGCTTTTTTATTAAACATTAAAAGGTCAAAATCCAAGCAAACTCGAACCCGAGAATGTACACAGAAGTAGGAAACACAGAGAACAGAGCTCTCAGCCAGCCAACGGCGCTCTTTTCGGAGAACGTTTCACAGACTGAAGTAGATTCCATGGGCCTCCAAGACAATAGGATCCTCTCTCCATTCCTCGCCATATGGGTTTTGTTTTGTTTTTTTAAGTCCTTTGGTTTGGGGAGGGCCTTCTTTTTTTGTTTGTTTCGATATTTTTATTTTTTCTGCAGTCAACAGCTGCCAACATAATCTGCACCAACTGGAGATCAGAAACCAAAAAAAAAAAAAAAATTAAACCACAACAAAAAAAAAATCAGAAAACCAAAACAGACCTAAAACCAGACAGCCAAACAGCTCAGAGGTACACAGTTACCTGCTGGCGGGTAACCGGGCGCGCTCCCAAGGCCAAAAGCTCGGGCATAGTGGGGCCACTGGCACACTTCATAACCAGGAGACACGCACATGGAGCGCTACACAGCCAGAAGCACCGCACTGCAGCACACAATGTGAGGAGGTGACAACACGGAGGGACACTACCCACTGCATACACCTTTATTTTCCACTTTTCTGATATCTTCTGAGGACAGAACATCTGTGAGCCATTTTTGATTTAATCAAAACATTGACTGTTAAAGCAATTCTTTAAAAAAAATTGTAGCGGATGTGTACTGTAACTTGTATTTATGACTGTAAAACCATGTGATGCAGGGTCGCAGTGTATGTTTGATGGGACGCCATCTTTCAGAACTGTGCTAACTCACTGTTGAAGCGTCCAATGGTAAGAGAAAATACAGATTTGTTTTTTGTGACAAATGGACATTGTACTCTGTACTTCTGCTGTAAGTAGTCCTATTCCATCTTTGTAATGACTGTTGAAAATGAAATGCAGGCCGGGTGGCAGGAAAGGGCAGTGGTCTTGAGCCTTGGGTTTTGGAGTCAGCCAGATCTGGATTCAAATCCCGGTTCAGCCACTAACTTGCTTTGTGACCTTGGGCCAAAATGTCTTTTAACTGCTCAGTTCGAACTTAATTGCTCAGTTTCTTTATCTGTAAAATGGGGCTAAAACAGAACCTACCTCATAGGGTTGTTGTGAGGAATTTAAGAAGCTGTGATGTCTGTAAAGCGCTTAGCACAGTGTCTGCCACTCAAGCGCTAAGTTAATGGTAGCAATTAATGAACAGCTGGAGTCGGGGGTGGATCTGCGCCATTGTCTGGGTCTGAGAATGTTGATGCCTTGTACATGATTGCTCATATGAACTGATTCTGATTTTGCCCTGCTTGTCCTTTCCTCCAGTCCCTCCTCAGGTTGGATGTGACTGGGTGGGAGGGTTACTGGGATCGGCTTTGAGAAAGGGGGGGCCTAGAGAAGAGGAGTGTGGAGCTCCTAGAACCTTGGGGCTTTGGGGACCGGTCGGTATTTTCTTTCTGCCCTTCTTCGGTTATTTTTCTGCTCTTAACCTCCTCTCCCTTCATGGGGAGTTATTTTAGAAAGCTGTTCTTGGCCCCCATAATCTTTTAGCTTCCGTAGCAGCTGCAAGTTCCCCAGAGGGTCCAAGAGCTGGGCTTTTTCCCGCCAGGGCAGATGACATGCCCAGAACTTGATGTCATCCTCCAGAGAAGGGAAAGCAGCCTAGTTGGTAGGGCAGAGGAGGCAAAGTGGGTTCCAACCTTGGGCTTCATGCCCACCCTCAGGCAGGCTACAGGAGGGAGGCTCCAGCGGCCCTTCTGAGAGAGGGAGGTTTTCCACCAGGCTTGTAGGAGCTAAGGGACTTGGAGCTTAGCCTTTACTCAGAAGGGAAAGAGCCACCCCTCTTATCAAGCTAGGCTCTAACTGCTTTCTCTGTCCACAGGTGACCCTGGCAGCAACCCTAACAAACGCCAGAGGCAGCCCCCTCTCCTGGGAGATCACCCCGCAGAATATGGTGAGGGCAGGGGGTTCCCCTCCGTGGACTCCCGTGGCTCATGTGCCCCTGCCCGCCGCCCGCCACGCAAATTCTCACCCGCCCTCCCTCTCTTTCCTTCCCACCCCTCAGGAGGGCCCCATGGTGGGTACCACAGCCATTACCATGATGAGGGCTACGGCCCCCCCCCACCTCACTACGAAGGGAGAAGGATGGGCCCACCAGTGGGGGGTCACCGCCGGGGCCCAAGTCGCTAC